ATGTTTTTCATACGATGGCTAACAGGTACAAACTTGCCACTAGCAACTTCGACTTATAAGGCATTATCTAGTCTATCAACAGGAAAAGCTAGTTTTCTACCAAATTCATGCCATATAAAGGAGTAGTTGGCACCAGAATTAAATAAAATTTGGGTAGGCAATTTGTTTACAAGAAAGGTACCTGAAGCGACATCAGCTTCTTCTTTGGAAGCTTCCTGTGTCATCTAGAAGGCTCTCGCTTTCGGCTTTGCCGGAATATTGGGTTTAGCTGCATCCTTCTTTTTCAGGCAGTCCCTTGACATGTGACCCTCCTCAATGCAACCATAGCAAACTTTCTCGGTAAGTGTGCATTTGTTGGCATAATGCCCTGGCATTCCACATTTAAAACATGTGGCCACCACTTCACATTTTTCATGATGCTTCTTCTTACATTTGTCGCACCATTTCACTTTTCCTTGTAGCACCAGGTTCTTGGTATGTATTTTGTTATTAAATCTTCATTTATTTTTGAATTTTTTTCCCTTGGACTCGGCGAGTCAAAGGACTGACTCGTCGAGTAGAAGCGGGTTTAGACGTGGGACTTAAGTGATGGACTCAGCGAGTCGAGTCCCAGACTCGGCGAGTAGCCGATGTTTGGACAAAAACCCTAATCCAGGGGTTTGCACCCTATTTAAACGACCTTATGCAACCTCCTTTCCCCCTTTATGCTCCCAAACACTCCCAATAGTAAACGCTAGCCGTTTTTGAGAAGATCTAATGCTTTTTGAGTGATTCTTGTGAGTTTTGATCTCAAGGAAGAAGGAAGAGCATAGAAGGATCAAGAGGGGACTGAAGGATTCAAGTTTTGTTCATCATTTGTAGTCTTTGGAAGGTATAAGCCATTTTTGGTGGCCAACCATGTTTGCAAACATGGTTGGGGGTTTGGGCTTTTGTATCATGTCATTTTATGAGCCACAAGTCAGATCTAGGCTGCTTTTTGCACCAAGGAAGGCCCCATGCAACAAAAGAACCATTTTAGAGCCTTTTAAGGTCTAATGTCCCATGCATGCACGAAAAGTTTGTAACTTTACGTTCTGGACTAAGCAAAGTGTTCCGGGAATTCATGGCACTCGGCGAGTGCATGAACGGACTCGGCGAGTCCAAGACAATCTTCATGGAACTCAGACAGTTGTTCATCAACTCGGCGAGTCGAGGACAGAACGTGTTCATAGTGTTGGGTTTTGAGCATTCTAACACTCCTAAGTGTACATGCGACCCTAAATACCTTGGATCTATGTTTTTATCTATTATACATGCAATTATGAACATCCAAGGTATTATCCTAATCTAGCATACAAAATAATGAATATAACAAGATAGAATACATACCTCTTTGATGTAGAATGTATTCATGAAGCTAGAGTGCCTAGTGCCTCAAGTGTGACACCTCAAATGGTTCACACAAGACCAAATACACTTGGAATAACTTGAGAGAAACTTGAACACTCCTAAAATCGGCTAGCCCTTTCTTATTATTCATAGTGGCCAATTTTTCCCAAAGAATATGATCTTATATAGTTGTTACCATTAGGGTAAACCCTAATTGTCATGGCCTTTCATTTCCTTGGATCCATGGGTTCAAATACACCATGGAGCATCCATGGACCATCCTATGGGTTTTAGCCAAACTTAATTATCTATGGAGCATTAGCCCACTATACAAGTATGGATGATTTACACAATCAACCCATATATTTAATTAGTCTTCTTTTGATCAATTAATTAATTCTAGATTAATTCTTGATCAATACTAATTAAATAATCCTATTAATATATTAGAACTTATAATATATTAATCAACCTTAAGTGTTATTTCTCTCATTATAGTCTATCCAAGTGCATGATGCCATGCAACCAAAATGGACCATGTCGGGTCGGGTCAAGTCTTACCAATTATAGTTATGGACTTAGACATTAATCTAACAGCCTCCCACTTGGATAAGTCTAAAACTATTATTGTGAATGACTTCAAGAACCGACCGGCAATCGTAGCTCTCAAAAGCTTCTGTCGAACTCTGACCTTGCCGATGATCTCTGACCTTTGTCAATGACTTGTCCATTAGATAAGTGATCATACATTCCTCCACTCTAGATATCATATGGACTGAGACATGGATTGTAAATCATTCTCTCTGTCCATCTGTTGTTTCCCGATTTCCAATTCATGATGACTGATTGATTGAACAAATCAAATCAGTCTTGGCTTGGCCAAGCACTCACATGAATCATCATTAAATCATCGAGGGGCCCACAGATATCGATTTTATCCCGAAGGTAAAAGGAATGGATAAACTTTGACTCATATGGCTTGTTCTACTACTTTTTGAATCATACACAAAGGCACATTTTATAACATCGAGTTACCAATGCGTTTTCGTGCAATCAATGTACTGTCAACTCATAGTAACAACTCATATATCTAGGTTTGAAGAATATAAGATATTATCGTCTCATGCTTTTAGAATTGAAATGAAGTATAATTTTATCTACCTTAATTATAGCAAAACAACTTTTTCAACCACTGCAGCCTCACGAATTGAAACTTTTGTTTTCTATAATTAACATTGTTAACTTGCAACCTTTATCATAATTATCATGCTCCCACTAACATGATGATTATTAGAATAATACTTATACTCCCACTAGCTTTGACTTGTACTTAAAAAATCCGCTGGACTTCTAGAAATCAATACTTTATTTAATTTCTTACCAAAGTTCAGATTTCTGATACTAGATTGCCTTGATAAGACTTTATCCAAAACATACACCTCTCTTAGATAGCTCACATGTGTGTCTAAACAATTATGAATAGGATGTCGTAATCATAATGTTTAGACCTTTTGTCATTCCCACAATTGCTATCTACTCAAAATCTACTCAGTGAAAGAGTTTCCTTACCATAATTTTCACGAATCGAAGAGAAACCTTATGACACTTAGATTTTTTGGTGTAAGTGTTCTTATCCATGTGAAGTGTCAAAACCATAGTCACAAGACAAGGGTAATAACCAATCCAAACTCATATGGACTGAACCCAATCTTAATTTCTTGCCATCTGGCAGCTCAAGGGCCTGCCATTGCTTCCAAGTTGTTATGAAACCAATTGAGAACTCTAAGAACTCATATGCAAAGCCAACTTTAATTGGAATGGGCACAGAATATGTCAACACGATAGGTTATAAACCTCAAGTCGTGTGCTAGTGAAGAACTTCAGGTTTTATTCTTGATTAGTTCTTGAGACTTTCAAGACCTTTAAGACTCCCACTATCCTCTTGACATATAAAACTTTCTTGTCAGATATTCAAGAGATAGTGTGGATTCTAATCAAGACAAACACTTCACACAATTAGCCTTAGTTGGTCTTTGTTTTATCCAAAACATCACAACTTACCAATTTCAAATGTACAAGAGTAGAAAACTTTTACTCTTACATTTGACAAGTGTTTTAAACCTTCTTTAAGACATGTCACTAAAGTTACAATCTTAGAGTATAACTCTAATAATTGTTTTTTGGAACGAAGTATGAATCATCTTCTTGATTTGACCATTTCAACAATTCATAGCTCCTCTCCTTTCCTATCAGAGTGCACTTAGAGGATGAATTGTGATAAGGTCTCTTAATCATTAAGATGGTTATATAACATGATACTAAAGTACTCTCCCATCTTTTTAGATTTGAGAGACTTTTATCTTTCTGTCTAAGTTGATTCTTCTTATTCGCTCTGCCATACATTGGAACTTTCCAATGTTTCAGAATTATACTTTAGCCTGTAAGTATGACCATATTTACTAAGCTTTAGTAAATTATGACGAATAGTCTTATCGATCTTTTGTGGTGGACTTAACTAGTGCACAAGAATGTATACTCGATCCCTTAGTCCTTTACTTGACTCACACATCCATGTGAACAAGTAGTTAGTCTTAATTTTTCCAATGGTTGAAAGTTCTCATCCATCATGCTATACAACTTGCATGATTCCAAGTTTCAGTCCAATTGAAACTTGGGTGATGAGAATCTTTCCTTATTTGGTAAATTTAGACACTACCACAAATGAAAGAATCAAAATCATATTTCCACTCTTGCTATTAATGGAATCTTATAAGCAACAAAACTTTTCACAAAAGGCACTGTAAGGATATTTTAAAAGAAATAAAATCAAAATTTTTCCTTTTATTTAAAATAAACTTTGCGGAAAAGCTATCCTTACAGTGCAATAGCACATGAAAACTTTGTTGTTATCTATTCCTAAGCAATATATCATAACTCCTAAGAAGTAGCTCAAGAATCCGATCTTCAACCTATGCGATAGAAATCCATCTATGCGATCAGATTCAACATATTCTTTCTTTAAGTTTCCTTCATTTTCCTTTTGATTCTTAAAACATCAACATGTGACCCAGTCACATCATGTAATAAGAATCTTAGAATAAAAACTTAATAGAGTTTGATAGTGGACTTTACTTAAAGTAAGGTCAACCTTATTGACTTTAACACACTCAGGTAAATTGGCAGCTTCGCAATCAATGCCCCTTCCTTTGGCAATTTTAACATATGGACACTTTGGTAATGGAACATGGAATTATCACAGACTTAGCCTTTCTCTTTACCATTTGGTCAACCAAGTTGAATATGGCCGATCCCTTTCCACTTGGAAGAGAGAGCTTTACTAGATATCCAGTGTCATCATTGTCAATGTCCATAAAGTTTTAGGAAGTTGATCTTAGCAAATAGATTAGATCATTAAGGTCTTGTCTTAGTCTGTTTCATAGGAGTCCCAAAGGAACTCACTATGTGACTTAGAAAGTGATTGAACCACCAACTTTCTCAAGACTTTAAGTTGTAGCATATGCAAGAACAATTTGACACTAGTCAAATGTGCTACCTATGGAACTCCAGGATAACAAATTTCTACGATGTAACAACAAATAAACCTATTCAATTAGTGAAATAATGGATCTGTGTTAAAGGAGATTCACTTTAGCAATATTTTCAAGTTCTTCCACAATATGATTAAGTTCCTGCACCAACATCATACGATATCACTACATGGACATATTAACATACTTTGACTTTCTTTTCAGTCTTTCCAAGATTTTACTTATTAAGACATAATCTTTTTTATAAAAAATGAGAATAATAGCATACACTTGCTTGCTGAGTCAGCTCCCTGATCCAAAACTTTGAAGGATAAAAAAAAAGACAAAGTCCCTCCTGATCATTATCATTAAATGCAATACAAATGACAAGAAACAAGAATAAACCTGCAAAGATGCATGCACTAAAAAATCAGGGACAAATTTTATAATTGTCAATGATAAGTAACGTTTCAAGATTTGTGCTGATGAACCCATCCCTTCAAGCATGAGGGCAACCTGGTCAAAATAACCAAAGGCAGAATCAGCAATATCATTATTATATAACTAAAAAGAAAAAAAATAGAATTAAGAAATAAGAACACCGTTTACAATTGTTGTTCAAGTCAAGAATTTGCTTCCTTCAGCCTTTAATCTTGCAACCTGTTATTCTGCCAATTATTGTTCAAGTCTGGAAGTTGTTTTCTTCAGCCTCGACTCAACCTTTAAAGAAATAAGAACATCGTTTACAATTTCAAATTAATATTAAACATGAAGTCCTAACTTGTTACAAATTTACAATCGTTTGTTTTCTCTTTCACTTTCTCAAAGAACCTTTAAACAAAATTTATCTATATTCCAGAAATTGATGAGTAGAAGGTATTTAGAAACTAACCATAACATACATGATGCCTTCTTTCTTCCAATCATTCATAGAATAATAACGAGACATATTTATAAGATCAATTACTAACCCCAGCTGAAAAAATATCAATAAAAAATCAAATAAGAGTAGCTTCCCACAATTAGTCCAATCATATACAATACATAACAAGGCAGAACAATCTAACCATCCTACAATATGAAAAGTAAACAATCTGATAATATATTATATATCAACCATGAATAGCATTTTTGCCCTCCCAAACCGTGGAAACAACTGGGCCAGAGATGATCTACCCAACGAGTCCATTGAAGAAAGGCTTTGAGGACAAATCAGCATAATGCTTGTCAGCAAAAGCTTGGTCAAAAGTCAAGAATTTCAAATCTGAATAATAAAATAACAAACGAAAAATGTTATTTTCATACATAATATCTTTTATTATTAGAAAATGTGGGTGTGTGATAAAATTAAAATAAGTTTGGATGGGATAACTTGGGTGAAATAATGACCTAGACAGAATCCAAAAGGTATGGAACTGTTGGAAGAACTTGTCTCCTGATGACAATTGCTAACTTGGAGTGAAACAAACACTTACCTGATTCTTGTTTGCATCAGCAAAAACAAAATAACAGATTTATATAAATATGAGTATGTTTTCAATTTTGTTATATTTATGTGAAAAAGGTAAATACGAGTGAAACAAATACTTACCTGATTCTTGTTTGCATCAGCAAAAATAACATTTGCTAACTTGGATTGTACTTCATCAGTTTTGTGCTTCACACCAACCTGTTTAATGTATTATAAAAAACTAGTAATCTTTTTTACAAAAAAAAGATTAAAAAATAAAATAAAATAAAATTTACTTACAGCAAATGGAACAGGTGCATCCAAGAAGTCCACCATGTCATTTTGCAAGACCTGAAGTAAAATGGATAAACTTTTATTAAAACTAAAAATTTAAATCATGATTAGTAATTGTATAAACATATGATAAAGCTATTATCGGCATTAAAAAACTTTGCCAGTGGTAGGTACGCATGAGGGGTATAATTGACAAAACTAAAGCATATAAAATTCCTTGTAGATATTCAACAGATTCAAGTAAGAAAAACTTAAAACACTATAATATGCATTCATGTACATTACATACCAAATTTGAGCATACAAACACAATTTGCTTTTCTAGCAATGCACCCGCAAATACTGTCAACACCAGTACATTATAGAAAATAAAAGAAAATGAAAAACTTATAAATGTACAATAAATATTTTAATAACATTGTATAAATTAATATATATATATATATATATATATATATATATATATATATATATATGTATATGTATATATATATAACAACAACAAATACATGTAAAAAAAACCTCTGCTTTGGTAATAGAAAATAAGGTTTAAATGTTTGTTTATGCAATAAAGTTATCATTGGCAAACTATCACCATCTTTAATTTCAACTATTTAATTGGTTGAAATGTGGGTGTCCAAACCCCTTTTCCACACCGATGGCAAACTGGAAGGGTAAACTCATATCTCTATTTCATGTAAGTTTTTCATGTTTGCTCAAACAGTCTATTATTACCATCATTAAATATTTATCATGTTGTAAAGTAGGATCCATATATAGAACCATCTGTTTTGGGTGAAGTAATATTATTAGATAGTAAAATTACCACTATAAGAAATAATTAGAAGCCAAAGAACATTTGCTTCTGTAATGTTTTGGCTTCTATGGTTTGAGCTAATATTTTTATGGTTGTAAACCTTATTTGCAACAAAACAGAGGTTGCCTTGGAGCTGTTGCATGCCCATAATGAAGAACGACATAACCGCAGGATGAAAAAATAAATTAATTTTTTTAGCTGATAAACAAGCATATAAGAAAGATGGAAACCTAAGAAGGAAAAAATTATCACCTGTTGTCACCAGTTGCACAAATACAAGTGTAGGAACAATGCCTACTCTAAAAGTAGTTATTTAATATCACCAAAAGATGAGATCACCATGTACAAGCAACTTATAATGTTAGAATATGCATTGAGAAATTGAAGATTATTTAGTAATGAGCTAATTTCAGTTTAGTCATTATATGAAAATTTTCTATCAGGTATAGACTAGGAAATAACATACAAAATTGATCCAATGATATCAAATTTTGACCCTGGCTCATGAGCAGGAGTAGCCCTTGGAGCAGATTTCTCAGCCATTCCCACACTAATTTTGTAACCTTTCAATTCGGAATCTGATCAAACATTAAAAAAATTAAATTAGACATACCCATAAAATAATTTATTTAGTTGAGAAAAGAATGTACTTACTGTCGTAGTGTTGTAGAATCCCCCAGCAGAATGTGTTGCAGAAGGATCCTAACAGAAAAGGCAGGGCATTCTCTTTCCAGCTTGAAAACAATCATGCTACTGTCATGGCCAGCTGCTAGGAGATTCATGTCGGGATGACAGCCGAGTATCCAAAATATGTCGTGTTCCCAGCGGAATATTTGAAGGCGTATGCTTTTGTCCTCTAAGTTTGATACTATGATGTCTTGTCTTGCATGGAAAAAAACACACGATACATTGTTCATGTGACCTCTCAATGTGTCTACTTCCCAAGCTTTGGTATCTGAAAGATAAAGTTGATAAGTGAGATTTGTGATCCCAAAGTATCCTGGTGATAATGCATGACACGAGAAGAGATGGGAATTAAAAGCTTATTAACAAATGAACTACCCTGTAAAGACACCATACCATTCATGCGCCCGATCTTGATTTAGCGATCATCAGCTCCAGAAACAATAAGAGGAAGAGTGGGATGGAATGATTCCCAATTGACTCCACGATCAGACTATTCGAGTTTGAAACATTGATTTTCCCTATCCACCAATCAAATGAGAGTATCACATCTCCTTGCAAGCTCTTGAGTGGTTCGTGACATAACAAACCAATCAAATTTGAACAAAGGTGATGTTCTAAATGCAGCCTTCAATTCGTCCCAGTTTCCATACCCAAGCTTCTGAACCATGCAAATCTGTAAAAATTTAAAATTTGTTGAGATTTATATCATACCAATCTACTTTTGTTTGTTAGTGTATTATAAAATATAAATAGCATCCTAGTGTTTTTTTCTTACCATGAATCGATCACATTCTTCATTGTAAAGCTTGCGTTTGTTTTGACCATATTGGATTTTGAGCTCCATACATGGGTTTTTAATACCGGTCTAATTTTTTTCCGATTGCTTTCATTATTTCATCTTTACGAGAAATTTTAGCCTCCCCTCTTTCAATATTCATAATAATTCGATCATAATGTCACACCCCGAAAATCGAAGGCGGAAACATTTCCAGGGTTGACTCTGCGTTGAGTATCAAATCCAATGTACATAGTAAGTAAAGTAAAGCAACCATTACATTACATAAGAAAAGTTTTACAATTATTTCAAAAGTAAAGTTTATATAGTTGTGATACATAGTATAGATATAAACAAAACGAACGAGCTTTGCACGCACAACTTCTTGGATTGAGTAAGTCTTCGGGTACCTGTACTATCGCTGACCTGAGAACACAAGCGGTTTGAAAATCAGCATAAAACTGGTGAGTTCATAAGCGGTTTTTGTTTGTGAAAATGTTTCAAGTTTTGTCACACCCCCGAACCAGACGGCGGAAACGTCCGAGGGCTTGCCGTGACTCAATTGTATATCATAACGTTGAATATATATGAAACATAACAACATTCGTTACCATTCATCAACATAGTACAACCAGTAGTGTTTACATATCAAACATTGTTTAAACAGTACATTCCCAAAAATTAAATTGTTTGATTCGTACATAAATAAACTGCAACCTTCACTGAATGCGATTTCCTTTGATTCACTGGTTCCCTGAGAATACAAGTATTTTGAAAAACGTCAACATATGAAATGTTGGTGAGTTCATAAGTAGTGTTTAAAATCGAATGTTTGTATTGTTTGAAAAATCACCAGAAAATCCGATATTTTCTGAAAAGAAAAGTTTTTAAAAGGTTTGTGAAGATCCATAGGTATGCTTTGTTTGTTTCTATACTTGTAAAGAAAACGTTCATTGAAGTTGTATGCTTTTCAAATTTGTGTGTATTGAAAACCCTAGGAAAACCCGATGTTCTCCTGGTTCCTTGAATTACGTGATGTTACATTGAAGCCATTGCATAGCGTATAGTGTCAGTCCCGGGCGACGTTGGAAGGTTCTCGAGCATTGATTATTTACTACAAACCCGCGTTACACAAACACCCAGTTTGTAGTTATACTAACGACTCCGAAGGTGTCGTCGTACTAATCACGTTATCCAATCGCCCTGACTATGAGTGGTCCCACATCCGAAGAGAAAGAGGTCACGAAGACCCCGGTAACTCCGTTAGCCGGTTGGGGATAAAATGTACGAGGGGTCCCAGACCCGTCTCGCATAAAATGTAGACCTTACTAGCAAGACCAAAGGACCCTTGGGGACCGGTGGTAAACAAGCCATTGAAAGTCCATTTACGTTGTGTCGGATCGGTAAAACCCAACACTCCGTAAAAAAAATGTCTTCGGGCCTTAAGATCAGGTCATTGAGCTAGCTAGGCTCAACGAACAAGATTTTACACTTGTGGGGCCCAAAGATGGTGCATAGACGTCTGCGCACACTCGTATGTGTATGTATAACCAAACGTTACTTGTATGAGTTGTAGTGTTAGTAGTTGTAGATTTTTATTGGCTCGAGACCGAGCCAATTCGTTTAACAACGACTTTTGGTATTGTAATGTTTTGTATTTCGTTGATAGTCACGATGCCATTATTTGATCAAATTGTGTATATTGAACTAGCCTTGAAATATTTCTGTTTTCAGCCCCTCATCATTTGTAAAAATTACATTTTTAACCCTTTATATAAAATACTTCCCGGTTTAGTCCTCAAACTATTTTTCTTGACATTTTAATACCAAAAATTATTGAAATTAATATTTTTCAACATATTTTTCATAAAAACAGTTTAAGTTCCTGGAAATGCAGTTTTTACGGTTTTAACCCCTTCTTTTCGCAACTTTTACAATTTTGGCCCAATTTGGAAAATTTTTGCAATTTTGGTCCTTTTTAAATTTAAAAAAAAAACATTTTTAACCTTTGAAAAGGAGTTGGAACACTTATAGTCCACTGTTTTACAGAAGGTTACAGTTTTGGCCCTCCAAAACAGAAAAATTTGCATAATGGGCCTTATTGGGCCGAAAATTACAATTTTAGCCCATTAAGCTTAAAATTTATGATTTTAGTCCACTAAATGAGTATATTTCCAGAAATTTACTTATGAAAACTGTTTTAGCACACTTCATCCATCAGAATCTGTGAAATGTCGTTTTGGACCCTTATTTTTGCATTTTTCACATTTTAGGCCCAAAATTTGTGTTTTTAACCCAAAGAAATTATCATTAACTACTTAGCCAATTTTTCTTGAAGCACTTAGTGTTTAGAAATATATTTGAAGTTAAAATCATGTAGCACAAGTTACATCTCGGTTTTGATGAGTTTTGAGGCTAGATCCAACATAAAAACACATAAAAGCATACATATAAGCATAAAAATCATACAAGGCACACAAATACATATAGATCTACACATATGACTTGTATTCTCCCCCCAAAAACAAGTGAAAACAGAAAAGAGGGGGTATGAAGCTCACCTTGGGGTGTTGGTTCGGTTTTTGCAAGGGAATGGAAGGAAAAATGAAGTGCTTTTGGCCTTGGTTCCCTTTGATGAAGATCTCGAGTTTGAGATGGTTCTAGGATGCTAGATCACGATTTTTGCATAGATTAGGGAAGGATTTTGATAATAAAAGAATTTAAACCATAGGTCTATGCATAATCTTACCTTAGGAGATGATTTACTTGCAAAATCCCTTTGGAAAGCCTCTAAATTTCGAGATCTTTGGAGAGGGGAAGGAGAGAGCTTCTTGAGTGAGTCTAGAGAGAAATGAGAATATTTTGTGTGTGTGTGGTGATGCTCTCGGCCGAACAAGGAGAGAAGAGGGAGAAGAAGTGATTTTGATATGATGTTTGCTTGGAAACATGTGTGGCATGCATGGGAATCCAACATGTAAAAGTGAGGTGTCAACCCAAGGTCAACTCCCCCTTTTTCCTTGGGCTTGGGCCGAGAATGGAGAGAGGAGAAGGAAAAATTTGGGCTTTTGCCCCTAAGCCCAACATTAGAGGTAGTTTAGGGTATTTATTGGACTTATAAAATAAAATTGTGATTTTTATGCTTTATTAAGCTAGGTTAGGTTAAATTATGGATCAAAACTTGTGTTTTATTTCATCCTAGGTTCTACCTAGCCCAAATTATTGAAATAAACGAGTGTGGGTCTAATTAGAGCCCAATTAGGGTCCTAAACCCATGATAGTCCAATTGGAAGGTCATTGGTCCATTTGGATCCAATAAGGAAGTCTTAGTCCAAAATGGACTTAACAAGAGCTTCTAGAGTCTCCAATTGTTTGATGACTACTTATAGTACTTGTATTTGATTGAAGTTTTTGATTCACATTAGGTTGAATGCATAGATTACATGGCTCAAAATTTACAGTTGTGACATCATCCCCCCGTTAGAGGGAATTTCGTCCCGAAATTCTGTTTGAAAGCTAGATTTGAGAAAACTAGAATAGGTGAGGGTACTTTTGCTTCATTTGATCTTCGCGTTCCCACGTGAATTCTGGCCCACGCTTTGCGTTCCACCGTACCTTCACGATCGGGATGCGACTCTGCTTAGTACGCTTCACCTCCCTGTCCATAACCTCGATTGGTTCTTCGACGAACAGGAGATTCTCATTGATTTCGATTTCGTCGAGAGGGATGACAAGGGTTTCATCCGACAGGCACTTTTTCAGATTAGAAACATGAAACACGGGGTGCACACCATTTAGCTCTGGGGGTAGTTGTAGTCTGTATGCTACTGGACCTACTCGGGCGACGATTTCGAAAGGTCCAACGTATCGCGGGTTCAGCTTTCCCCGTTTTCCGAAACGTATAACCCCTTTCCAGGGTGAGACCTTCAACATTACTCGATCACCGACCTGGAACTCTAAGGGCTTTCGCCGTTTATCAGCGTAGCTCTTTTGCCGGTCACGCGATGCCTGTAGTCGAGCTTTGATCTGGACAATCTTTTCTGTAGTCTCGCGAATGATTTCCGGTCCCGTTAATGCTCCGTTCGACGTATGTGTTCCTGCCAGCTGGGTGTCACCTACTTCGGCCCAACATAACGGTGATCTACATTTACGCCCGTACAGTGCTTCGAAAGGGGCCACCTTAATGCTCGAATGATAACTATTGTTATATGAAAACTCGATCAACGGTAGGTGGGTATCCCAAGACTTTCCGAAGTCTATCACACATGCACGAAGCATGTCTTCAAGCGTCTGAATGGTTCGTTCGCTTTGCCCGTCCGTTTGTGGGTGATACGCCGTACTCATATCGAGATGAGTTCCCATTGCCTTGTGGAGCGACTGCCAAAAGCGTGACGTGAACCTACTGTCCCTATCCGAGATGATAGATTTTGGTACTCCATGAAGTCTTACAATCTCTCGTAGGTACAACCGCGTCAGCCTTTCCATCTTGTAAGACTCTTTGATTGGCAGGAAATGGGCAGATTTCGTCAGTCGGTCGATTATTACCCATATGGTGTCCAAACCGTCCGACGTCTTAGGCAGCTTGGTCACGAAGTCCATAGAAATCCCCTCCCATTTCCACTCAGGGATTTCCGGTTGTTGTAACAATCCGGAAGGTTTCTGGTATTCCACTTTTACTTTGGCACACGTAAGGCACTTACTAACATAAGTTGCGATTTCCGCCTTCATGTTAGGCCACCAATAGTGCTGCTTAATGTCCAAATACATCTTGTCCGAACCAGGATGAATGGAGTATCGTGTCTTGTGGGCTTCCTTCATAACGATCTCCCTGAATCCTCCGATTTTTGGAACCCAAATACGGTTCATGAAGTAGTATACCCCATTCTCTCTGACTTCCAGGTTCTTCTCCATTCCGCGTAATGCCTCGCTAGTTCTATTTTCCGTTTCCATAGCCTCTGCCTGGACTGATGCAATTTGAGCGGTCAGATGAGACTGGATGGTTATCGAGTGCGTTTTCGTACGGCGATTTGTGTACTCCTTCCGACTTAATGCGTCAGCTACCACGTTGGCCT